GTTCTAAAAACAAAGACACAGATAAAGGGAAAATATTAATGGAGTAAAAATAAAAAAGGTAAAAGAAGAGATTATTAAGAAATGGATAAAAAGATATACATGATATTAAGGGAAAAATAATAGAAAAAAAAAAAAATAAAGTAAAATATATATATATATATAATAAATAAAAATAAAAATAATATTAAGAAAATATATATATATAATATAAAATATAATATTAAGAAATATATATATATGGTAAATGGAGAAAAATTACATCTATACATATCTATATATACATATATATATATATATATATATATATATATATATATATATATATATATAAGATATATATAATAAAAATAATATAATAAAAATAAAAAAGGAATATAGTAAATAAATAAAAAATATATAATTAAAAATATATATATATATGGGACGAAATTAATATAAAAGTAAAATTAAAGGGTAAATTTCAAGGTAAATTAAAGATTAAGATTGACCTAGGGGAAATATTAAATACTTTAAAAAATGAACATGCCTCGGGAGTAGATCTAGGTTTGAAACTTCGAAACCCCACTCCTTTTTGGTCATCGACACAACCCACACTTTAGGTTATTCAAACCAAATCTCAAGAAAAATAGCATGCACATGCGAGAAATGAACGAATCAATATAAAAAAGATACTACATTTTATTTCCTTTTTAAATCATTTACAATAGCTTTGCCTATGTATTTTTTCGTGTTTTCCTCTGTATCTTGTATATAAATCGTCCTCTTACAAATGGGGAGGATTACATGTATTTATAGTGGAAAAAAAGTAACTAACAATAGAATCCTAATGCAACTAGACTCCTTGCTCGATTGTTGCACGTTTGTTGGTGTGGTTGTTGCACGTTTGTTGGTATGGTTGTTGCTTTAAAAGATATGGTGGTGGAAGAGTCCTCTTAGGAGAGGAACTCCTGCTAGCTCTATCTTTTAAGAAAATTGGTGTCTACAACCAGAAATATCAACTTTAGAGATTGCATCTCATTCATTTCGGAAACTAAACAAAACTTCGAGGTGATCATTTACATTTAGTTGCCGGTGATGGCCTTTTATATTGTCGTGTATAGCTCTTAGCTTGGAGCAGTGCCGAACTATAAATTTATTAGAGTGGGGTTAAAGTATTTTATATTTTTCATAAATACAATTTTTTTTAATTAAAGAGAGCTTGGTAATTTTTTTTCCGATAATTTTAAATCCTTTCAATTTTAATCGAAAATTTTTATAATGACATTTAATGTTGATTTCAAGTATAAGATCATTATAACTATTTATAAGTTGACAGATATAGTTAGTATAATCAGTTAATAATAAATTTTAGTTTTTCTAAGTAACATAAAATTGTCAAAGATCATATTAAGGGATAACAATTTTTCGAATAGTACTATTAAACGATTGATATTCCTCTAAAAGTATTCTGAAATTTCAGTTACAAAGTAACTCTTCGTAAACCCTAAGATGGGAGGTTTGTCCCTCCAACTATATAACATTGTTTTGTTGAGTCCCTCGACTATTAAAAATTATAAAATGGTTTCTTGACTATAGGACGTTGTTTTGTTTTGTTTAGATCCTATGTTCCAAACTCATGCTTTTCTGTTAAAAAATTGGCGATCGTCTGAGCTAGACGTTAACGTGTTGACTTAGATATGATAAATATGATCCTAGAACCGTTTGAGTTGTATTTTATGGATTGACTCTCCATTTACATTATGTTGTCGAGCCAGTGCTTGAAACATTATTATCGTCAAGCCAGTGTTTGAAAGCAATGACGATGTTAGTAGATATCATTAAAATATATCATATCTCAATCAGCAGATTAATGTCCAGCTTAGACAGTCGTCAATTTTTTAACAGAAAATAATAAGTTTGGAACATATAAATAGTTGAATGGTTATTTTGTAACTTTTAATAGTTGGGGGACTCAACAAAACAACACCCAATAGTCGGTGATCATTTATAACATTTAATAATCAGGAGACTCCACAAGAAACACTCTATAGTAAAGGGGTCATTTGTGTACTTTACCCTTGTTTTTTCCGACTATTATTGAGAGTCCTTTTGGTGCATGTTAAGTTAAAAGTAAGTCCTTGTATTCCTCTTGAAATTTCAAACTTGTCCTACCAAAGTCAAGCTTTAACTATTGGGAGCGATGTTTAACGGGAATATGGATTAGAGATCACAGTGGGGGAATATTTGTATTTATAACCATTCTTATCTAGGAAAGGGGAAAGCAGAATGTTACTCATAATGAATATTGAACACACAATTTAAAGGAGTTGAGAAGTATCAACTAAGAGTTTTAAATCCCATATTGTATGGACTTTTAGCTCCTCTATTATCATTTATTAATACATTCTCCTATATTTTATTTAAAATTAGTTTAGTTTCAACAAATGAACAGCAATGCGATGACCTGAAAGACTTGGTTAGATCACATCTACATTTGACAAAGTCGTATTGATATTTCTTAATAAAGCCAAAAATAGAGTGTGAAATGTAAATTAGTTTAGAATAAGTAGCGCAATTCCTGCTCCAATTTTCCACAAATTATCACCTATAGGACGGTTTTGGAGACTTGGACACTTCACATTCACATTTGCTTGCCTCTCCTTTAATTCTGCACAAATTAATAATCTCTTTGAACGAATTGCAAATTAATGATCCTTTTAATGACTCGCGCCTTAACCCGGGATCCGTCAAGGGATTCGTGCAATTTAGGATAAAAATGAGAAAACTCCAACTCAAGTCACACGTCTTATTCATTTTACATTATATTTCTATACATTGTTCATTTTGTGATTTAGTCCACAGGTTCAAGGCACACCCTAGGTCCGGCCCATGTAGAAAAAGAAACAGATCGGCCTGTTTTTGCTGTATTCATGGGCTCTACTTTAGTCCGTACTTGGGTTTATTTTGTTGGTTTTTATTATTGTTTAAAAAGAATATAAATGTAAACTTATTTGTTTTACCCATAATCTGTTTTCTAAAATTATCTTTATTTTTTATTATAAAAATCAGATTCAATTGATATCAGATTGATTAAGTATTAGTTCAATTTAGAAATGATTAAAAAATTATGTTTTAATTATAATTAATATCACAATAAAGAGTTCACTGATTTTGGTTATTAGACTATCAACGTATCTATAAACTAATCACATGAGATGTTATTTGAAAGAAATTGAATTATTCAAAATTCAAAATTTTAGATAGGTTTTTATTGATTTAAATGAATATCGTGAAAAAACAAATCAAAGAGAAAATGAATAATATTTTATCGATATTATCACAAACCAATAACAATCAATCAACGACCACAATTAAAGTAATTTAAAGGTTTGTGGGAAGAGTCTAAAATTTAGTGAATGGTTATATAATTTACCCTTCTTAGTAATTTACGACTTAGGTTCATCAAACAAAAATATACAACTTATGACTTCTTAATCAAAAGAGAATATAATGATTAATTAAAAAAAAACTACTTCCACCATATCTACTCATAAATAATATCATATCATAGTTAAATTGAATTTAAAAATATTTTAACGATTCCTTTTTTTTGGTGACATTTCTTCTTTAATTATTTAAGTTAAAGCCGATCTGAAACAATGATTTTCAAAAAGGAAAATTGATTAATTTCCCGTTCATATATTCGTTAACGAATTAAAAGTCATGAACCATAACTTTATGTTCATAAAACAAAACAATACAAAAAAAACATGCAACGCAAGAGCCAAATGTATCATAACGTGCGTATATGCCTTCGTCATCATGTATTAATACATGCATATAGCCAAGTATCATGAGAAGCAGATACAACAGATCTCCACGCCAACTTCTACTTGGTCGCCATCGACTTCAGCAATGACTTCAACCATATCTTTGGCTGCTTCCAAAACTTCAGCTGGATCTTCAGCCGTAACCCCATCTTCCTTTTCCTTTTTGACACCCTCTTCCTCCTTCTCATCACCTTTCTTATCTGCACATTTAACTGCAATTACAGACCCAAACACAATCAACAACACTATAGCAAAGATGCTTGCAACAACCGCACCCCCACTCATCCCTTAACTTGCTGTCTATACGATGCAAAACTCAGTCATATATATGATATCGATATACAACTGTCTGCAATATGAAAACGAATTAAAAGAAGAGAGTACGAGGGAATCAGGTAGTAGATGCTTCAGTATCTTTAATTTTAATTCCGTTTCACGATGATTATTAATTTGTTTTTCTTGTTTGAGATTTGTACTTAAATATGTTGTATTGTGTGTGGGCTTTTGCTAGTTTTGTAATTTTTCGTTTGTTGTAATATTTGTTCTGGCAAAAGAAATAAAAACTAGGATAAATTCATTTAATTAATTCTAATATCATTTGCTAGAACTTTCAAGGCTGGTTGATTCACTTACAGGTGATAATAAAAACTATATTTTGTGTTCTAATTGTGTAAAATATTAGGGGATGAATATTCATTTGGGGTGTTGACTTGTCGTTGTGGATTTCTTTAACACAACAGCATATACCGGTATTATGTTATCTTTATTATTATTATTATTATTATTATTATTAATGGTATTATGTTGCATATGTCACACTGAATTGAAGCGAAATCATAAAATAAAAAAAAAAAAGATGGATAGAACATGGTCGCATTTATTTTCATGTACATTATGTAAATACAATTATCCAATGTATCTCCCTCACTAAAAACAACAATACAATCAAAAAGTTCGACATGTGGTCGTAAAAGATATTTTTAAAATTATTTTTTAATATTTATTTTCGAATTAAAAAAATCATACATTAAAGATTATCCACGTGAAGTTTTAAATTGTCATATGCGGCTGAAGCTGACTTCACAAAACATCCACCAAGCTCGACCATGTAAATGTGTGGCCCTGAAGCACTGATTCTTCACAATAAAAGAACCCGGTCCCTTAAATTTTTTAACTTTCACTTGGAAAAACCTCCATCGATGGCTGCCTTCATCCCTTTCAAGCTATCCTTACTCTTGAGTCTGCTCTCAAACATTGGTTTCCTGCCAGAAACCAGCAAGAACAATGTTGGGATATTTCCTCCAACGTGTAATCGGATCGAGTGCCCTAGTTTCGATGTGATTCAACAAGGCAATGGCTATGAGATTCGTAGGTACAATTCCAGTGTGTGGATGTCAACTTCTCCTATTCAGGATATTTCTCTAGTTGAGGCCACCAGGACTGGCTTTCTTCAGTAAGTTTTACTACCGTCTTTCTGTCAACATAATCATCTGTAGTCAAATTTGTTTTCTTTGCTTCAAAGTTACAACACATTCTAGGTTTAACAAAAGCTAGCAAAACTACAAATTAATGGAAGTTTGTGGTTCCTACTTTGCTTATAGGCTATTTGACTACATTCAAGGGAAGAACAAGTACAAGCAGCAGATAGAAATGACAGGTCCAGTGATCACTGAAGTTTTACCAAGCGATGGACCCTTCTGTGAGTCATCATTTACCGTCAGCTTTTATGTCCCAAAGGTGAACCAGGCGAATCCGCCGCCAGCTGATGGCCTCCATCTCCAAAGATGGAAATCGGCATATGTAGCAATAAGGCAATTCGGGGGATTTGTTACAGATTATAACATTGCAGAGGAAGCTGCTGCTTTGCAAGCCAGTCTTGAAGGCACTGTTTGGTCTGCTGCAATCGACAAGACCCGGAAAGATGATGCCACTTCGGTTTATACTGTTGCTCAGTACAACTCTCCTTTTGAATTTAGTGGCAGGGTGAATGAGATTTGGATGTTGTTTGATTTGGAAGATGAGTTCTTGCCTGTTTAAGTTTAAAATAACTCGGCTAGCTTCCCAGAACTACAAGTTACAGGACAGTAATGGAAAATATTATGTATGCTCTAAATCTCTTAAGTTTGTATGAGAAAATGAGGGTCTCTATCTAACATGCAGCATGGAAAAATCTCCTGGTTTTTCTTCAACTCCTAGCTGAAGTTTAATTTCTTATGATGATCACTTTCCAAAGCTTTATGTATATGTATATGTATATGTATATGTATATGTATATGTATATGTATATGTATATGTATGGACTGTGTCCCTTCAGTACCTGCAGACTGGGATTAAAATGTTCCCAAAACTGAGCATTGCCTAAAAGAACCCAAGACAAATGTCTGCACTATACAATCTTCAGAAAATATGAAATAATCCTTTCATTTGGGTTCTTTCATATGATCCACATGCCTCAATCAACAAAGCCATTGAAAAACAAAATTTGAGGCAACACTTTTAACTTGGCTAAGTCACTATTTAATCAGTTGGATATTCCATGAACAACCATTCTCAATGACCATAAGTTCTATCAAAAGTATTTTTTGGGTTACTCCCATGTTTTACAAACATGCCATGGTCGGTATCTAAAGAAATATCTGTCAAAGAATCACAGACCTGTTTGAATTTCTCTTGATCTCGGTTCACAATTCGGGCCGATGAGTACAAATCCAGAACATAACCCTTCTCCTCTAAGAAGTACCTCTTATGGGGCCTACTAGTTGAAACATGCTGCACGAACCGTGTTGCAAGAAGATGATTCTGGGGTGTACAAGTTATTGAAGATTGAGAATGGATCTGCATTGCTTGCATCGGCATGATTGACGGTACTGAAAGAGTCTCGAGTACTCTCTGTCATAAAAGAAGCCTCATCTGAGCTCGTGAAAAGGGACCAATCACTTGATGATGTAGAATCAGAGAACTTCAAATTGGTTGGGTTGGAATACATCTCTACCACTCGATGAATGTTACTACTTGCATTCTGCATGAGAATGCCATTAGAGTTGCGGCCTGCGGCGATTTCAGGCCTGGAATCTGGGTAAAGCTTGGGGCCAACACAGTGGCTGCTGGATTTTCTTTAGGCTGGTCGTGAAGGCTTCTCCATTGTCGAAGCGATGTGCCTAGTAGGAACTTGCTTGGTCTTTTCAGTGATTGCTCTTTGAGGCCGAGGGTATGACATTGAAATGTTCACATACTTTCAGAGCTACAAGAGAAACATTGATACGGAAACCAAAAGTAACATTCATACAACAAAGAAACATCAATAGATGTCTACCTCATGTAAAATAAGATGTATGCATCCTCAGACATCACTTGGGTCATTGAGAACTGTTAGGTATGGCTCATAAATATACCAGTAAGTACAAAGAAAGTCTCGTTGTGGGGTTACGAATTATGTGGGTTGGGGGTGCGGGGGCGCAGCCCCGCGGTACGGTACAGGGTTAATTTTGTAATTATGTACCAGGGTTTTCTATTATAAATAGAGATGTAACCTAGACCTAAAATATCATTGAATAAAAACTTCTAGCGCCGCCTAGGCACCGAGGACGTAAGCACATTGCCGAACCTCGTAAAATTCTCGTGTTCTTTTGTTTTCTTTACCCGTTTTCGTCAACAATTGGTATCAGATGTCAGGAGCAAAATTCGAAGTCGCGAAATTCGATGGTCAGGGTAACTTCGGATTATGGCAAACGAGGGTGAAGGATCTATTGGCGCAGCAAGGGATCTTGAAGGCTTTGCGATCTACAAAGCCGGCGTCGATGGATGAGGAAGATTGGGAAGAATTGCAGCAGCGAGCGGCAGGAACCATACGATTATACTTGGCGGACGAGGTCATGTATCACGTCATGCATCTATCGTCTCCAGACGAAATTTGGAGGAAGTTGGAAAGTCAGTTTATGTCCAAATCCTTAACGACAAACTGTATCTGAAGCAGCGGCTGTATGGGCTGAAGATGCAGGATGATCACGATTTGGCGCAACACGTGAATGTCTTCAATCAAATCGTTTCTGATCTGGCTCGGCTTGATGTGAAAATTGAGGATGAAGACAGAGCGATGATTCTGTTGTATTCGTTGCCTCCCTCTTACGAACACATGGTGACTACTCTTACATATGGGAAAGAGACTATCAATGTTGAGGAGATTACTGCAGCCTTGTTGGCTCACAACCAGTGGAAGCAGAATGCAGGGGAAAGCTCTCAAGCCGATAGCTTATATGTCAAGGGTAATCGAGATCGTGGACGGAAGCCAGAGAAGGCAGGGTCCGGGAAGCGGAATTCCAGATCCAAATCCAGGGATAAGAAGACGATTCACTGTTACAAGTGCAAGGAGGCGGGACATATGAAGCGAGACTGTCCGAAGTTGAAAAAGCAGACTGATGAGAAGCGTGATGGCTCATCCAAGTCTGTGAACGTGGTCGAGGATGATAATTCTGATTGCAGTGAGGGTGATATGCTTTCTATTTCAACGACACAATTGACGGATGCTTGGATTCTTGATTCTGGATGTTCTTATCACATCACGCCAAATAGGGAATGGTTTTCGACATACAGGCCGGTTAATTCTGGTTCGGTTTATTTGGGTGATGATCGATGTTGCAATATTGTTGGTATTGGTGATGTCAGAATTAAGATGCACGATAGCTCCGTTCGGACGTTGAGTGGTGTTCAACATATCCCAGACTTGAAGAAGAATTTGATTTCCTTGGGCACTTTGCACAAGAATGGTTTTATCCCTAAGGCTGACGAGGATAGGGAAACCATTCGGATTGTTAAAGGAGCATTGACTGTGATGAAAGGCAAGATGACTGCAGGGAATATCTACAGATTGTTAGGGAGTACCGTTGCAGGTGGAGTTCACTCTGTTGAGTCCTGTGATGATACGACAAAATTGTGGCATATGCGCCTTGCTCATCTTAGTGAACGTGGTATGGCAGAATTACACAAGAGAAACTTGTTGCATGGTGTCAAAAGCTGTAAGCTCGACTTTTGCAAGTATTGTTCTTGGTAAACAGACTAAAGTCCGTTTCAAGACTGCGAAGCACACAACTCAAGGGATTCTTGATTATGTGCATTCTGATGTATGGGGGCCTTCCACGACATCGTCTTTGGGTGGATCTATGTACTATGTTACTTTTATTGATGATTTTTCACGGAAAGTTTGGGTGTATTTTTTGAAACAGAAATCTGAAGTTTTTGAGAAGTTCAAGCTGTGGAAAGCTGAGGTAGAAAACCAAACAGGACAAAAAATCAAGTGTTTGCGGTCTGACAATGGTACGGAGTACACAGATTCACAGTTCCTACAATTCTGTAAGGAGCATGGGATTCAGAGGCATTTTACAGTGCGCAAGACACCACAACAGAATGGTGTTGTGGAACGAATGAACAGGTCGTTGAATGAAAGAGCCAGATGTTTGCGGTTGAATGCGGGGCTTCCCAAACACTTCTGGGCTGAGGCTGTTAACATGGCGTGTTACCTTATCAACAGATCGCCAAGGGCATCGCTGGCTGGGAAAGTTGCAGAAGAGGTATGGACTGGTCATGATGTTAGTTTTGATAACTTACGGATTTTTGGTTGTCCTGCTTATGTGCATGTACCTGCTGATGAGAGATCCAAACTTGATGCAAAATCGAAGGAGTGCATTTTTCTGGGTTACAAGAAAGGTGTCAAAGGATTCAAGTTCTGGGATCCAGTTGCGAAGAAAGTTGTGATTAGTAGAGATGTCGTTTTTGATGAACAATCCATGTTGCAGCAGAAGCAAGAGACGACAGTGGTGGATTTCGAGCAGTTTCCAGTTGAGAAACCAGAAACTTCTCAACCGACTTCTGGTGGTTCCACTACGGATGATTTGCAGGATTATAGTCTCGCCAGAGACAGGGTGAGACGGACGAATATAAAGCCTCCGAACAGATTGGATTTTGAAGACTTGGTATCTTTTGCACTTATTGTTAGCAGTGATGATCCGGTTACTTTTCATGATGCCGTTACTAGTCAGGAAAACGACAAGTGGATGGCAGCCATGGTTGAGGAGATGGAGTCTTTGAATCACAATCGCACATGGTAGTTAGTTCCCCTTCCTGAGGGTAAGAAGCCGATTGGTTGCAAATGGGTGTATAAGAAGAAACCAGTAGTAACAGAAAAAGAGGGGGAGAAGTTCAAGGCTCGTTTGGTAGCGAAGGGTTTTTCACAGCAGAAAGGAGTTGATTATGATGAAATCTTTTCTCCTGTGGTCAGGCACACTTCAATCCGAGCAGTACTTGCATTGGTGGCTAGTTGGATTTGCATTTAGAGCAGATGGATGTTAAAACTGCTTTTTTGCATGGTGATTTAGAGGAGCAGATCTACATGCGGCAACCTGAAGGTTTCACTCAACCTGGAAACGAGCATTTAGTTTGCAGATTGAAGAAATCTTTGTACGGGTTGAAACAGTCTCCGAGACAGTGGTATAAACAGTTTGACTCCTATATGATCAAGATTGGCTACAACCGATGTGAGTATGATTGTTGTGTCTATGTTAAGCCTTGATGATGGTTCTTTTATTTTTCTATTACTGTATGTTGATGATATGTTGATTGCTGCGAAGAACATGGATGATGTTATCGGTTTGAAAACTTTATTGAGTCAGGAATTTGATATGAAAGATTTAGGTGCTGCAAAGAAAATTCTTGGAATGGAAATTTGCAGGGACAGAGACTCAAGGAAACTGCGGCTATCTCAACGGGGTTATGTTGAGAAAATGCTAGAAAGGTTTGCGATGAGCAGTGCAAAACCAGTTAGCACTCCATTGGCGAATCACTTTAAGCTCTCATCAGAACAGTGCCCCAAGACAGATAAGGAAGTTGAAGATATGGCAAAGGTTCCGTATTCTAATGCTGTTGGCTGCTTGATGTATGCGATGGTATGTACTCGTCCTGATTTAGCTCATGCTGTTAGTCAAGTTTGTAAGTACATGTCTAAACCTGGTAAGCAACATTGGGAAGCAGTCAAGTGGATCTTTCGGTACTTAAAGGGTACTGTGGGACATGGAATTGTTTTTGGGAGTCAGCGGGATAATCCTTTGGTTGTAGGATATGTGGATTCAGACTATGCAGGTGACTTGGATAATAGAAGATCTACGACAGGGTATGTCTTTAC